TTACATATGTGCAGACAATTTATAAGCAATTACATCAGAAATTTTCTTTAGTGATCACTCCTACGAATAATTGTTACTAATAAAACATTTTATTCGATTCACACATTGAATTTATTGATTTACTGTATCGAATCCATATATATTATTACTTATTTGTTTTATTACTTGTGAGGCACTTTTCTCAATTCGATCCTGGATTTAACATAGTGGATGCTCACGTGATCCGGAAAAGGAGATCAAAGGTGCCGACACGAAGTGGACCTACTGGTTATACTGTGGTAGCACTGCTGTTATAGCACTGACACTACTACATTTCAGTAGTCTTTTTACTGCACTAGTAGTTCTTTTTTACTAGGATATATTAATAAAAAAATCTGAGAAATTTTCTAAAATTATAAAATTATACAGAAAAGTTGCAAATTATACATAATTTTTTTTTTAATGTTAAAATTTATATAAACATTCTGAAAAATTATATTAAAAATTCTAAAAAAAAATTTTACCAGGGATATTAAATTTCTTTTTTTAGGCATTTCAGTATATATTCAAAAATTATTTTATATGAGTTTAAAATGTGATCAAGATGGTCCAGTAGCAGGTCTCTTCTTTGCGTGATTCAGAAATCCTAAAAATAAATATCCTCAGATCGCAAACAAAGCCAATTATTAAAAAAAATGTCTTTAAAATATTTAATCTTGAGAAATAAAAGAGAAAAATGAAAAGAAAATAGTGTGAAAAGAAATTTCAAGGAAAAATTCATTCAAGATTTGTTCAATCGTATAGCTGAAAACACAATTAATCTGGGACATCCGGTATAAATTTTATATCTAGTATATCATGATCTTAAATTAAGCGACGAATTTCTAGACAAGTCGGTCTTTTCTCAGCCAAATTTTTAAGAACATTTCTCTAATTTTTGACGATATGTCTTTGTTAACGTTAACGTGTAATTGCTTTAAAAGTCAACTTGAAGCTAATCTTAACTAAATTATTAAGATATTTATGCTTTTCTGAATACGTATTTTTTTCGGAGAAAAGCGACAGAATGAGAAAATGGTAATGTCGTGATATTTTTATACGCGCGACTTTCAATAGCATAAAGAATAATCGAATGAGACGATATAATCATTAAAAGTAATGATATTACTTTTGATATATAAAGGACTACTATTTCGTATTTAACATATACACACACGCACACACATGTACAAAGATTACTGTTCGTTTATAATCATGATGTGTAAAACGATCATATTAAGAAGTACAAGATATCCCGCGGCAGTTTAATTTTATTAATAGATTCTATGCTTTTCCCAGAATAGAATATTCCTTTTCGCGAAAACCTCTATTGACACGAATTAAAAACTATCGCTTAGACTTTCTGCCCAAGATCGATTAAACATTCAGAACACTTTTGGGGGGTCATAAAGTATGAAACATTGTTTTTATATTTCCCATCTACGACTTGGTTCAAATACAGTACGTCATGAAGAGCAGCAAAAGAATGGAAATAATTTAGACAATTCTTTAATAAATGTGTATCTATTTACGCGTAAAGAATCTTCTTTTGGACTCTCACCTACGTCTTCAAAGTCACATTACATTATTTTACAATAATTTTATATATATATATATATATGTATATATTTATATATGTATATGTCTCTCTCTCTCTCTCTCTCTCTCTCTCTCTCTCTCTCTCTTTCTCTCGCTCTCTCTCCTTATAAGGTTTTACGTAGCGAAGGTGAAGGGAGCATAACACAAAAGCGAGCACAAGTCATGTACAAATAGTGAGAAACATTCGACAAGAAAAATTATCGAAAAGTAATCGAAGAAAAAATAAAACGGTGAACAATGGTAATTTTCGTGCATTTTCTCCTCGATTATCTCCATGAAAATATGTATGAGCAAGTGATCACCCATCTTTGTTAGCTATGTATTTTACCTGTTAGCTATTATTTCTGTATCATTGTCGTTTATTATTAGCTTGTCTTTCTCGTTTAATTACTCTTTATTGTTACCATTATCATTATTCATATCATTAATTATTATTATTATGCGATGGTAAGAAATTTTAAAAACGACCCCTACGGTTGCCAGCGCGGGAGCACAGCTCCGAAAGTGGATCCTTATATCCTGCGCGCGCTCACGTATCGCTATCACGTAATTAATATTTATAAGCAGCGGATGTTTTTGGTATAATCAAATCTATTTTTTTCCATTTTTTTTCTTTTTATTGTATACTCCTCTTGTTCCCTCGCTCCCATTATTCTTTCCGCCTCACTCTCTTTTGTTCTATTAGAAAACAACATGTATATATAATTTTTTTCTTTCTCTCTCGCTCACACGCATACGCATGCACGCACACATACACACCTCTCTACTCGTCCGTCGTCCGCACGAATTAAACCTTATCATTTGTTAACTATTGTATTTGTGTATGCCATCTCTTGCCGCGGGCTACACACTCATGAAAAAAGGTTTGTTCACTATCAACTCGCCGCGGGTACTCAGTCACAGCAGTTTCTATGTTAATAGCACATCGGCCTATATACGTTTTACACATGTATTCTCATTTATCGCAGTTTGGTGTACATACGTCTCTGTGTATGTGTGTCCGTGTGTGTATACGTGAGTCTGTGACTTGTTTCATATTACTATATCCTTTTTTTATATATATATAATATATCGTATTTTATATATATATATATATATATATATATTGGTTTTCATTTTTACCTAATTTTTATTACGTACCTGTTACAGTTATCATTATCGTTAATACGAATATATGATACATATATTCAAACACTCTCACTGGCTCTATCAGGAGCAGCAAGAATCAGTGTAAGGGTCAGTCAGGAGGCGACACACTGGTCGTCTGAGAGAGTGCGCAAAGTGCCGCGTCCTTCAGAAATGAACATAAGGATCACAACGATGTGTACAACTTCGTCCATTCCGAAATTTACACTATGATTGTCCCCTCCTACCGAGAGAGCGGTAACGAAATCTTAGTTGAGAAGGGACTTAACGCATTGTCGCATTGTTTGTGTGCTGACACTGAGTACATCATGCAGTGGAAATCCTTTACCGTTTCCAATTGGAAAGAAAAACCAAAGTGTGAATATACCCGGTATACACATATAAAATCATTTGGAATTCACTAATTGTCACATTGTTATTGTTAATGTTGTTATTGTTGTTAAAGAAGAATAAAATTGCGTAATTAACTGCATTGTCTCTCTTTCTTTTTTCATTTCTTTTTTCTGCTTTTATCATTCTGCCATTTCGGTCACAACTAATAAAATGAATTACATTAGAGTCAAGAATGCTTTTGTGAGACACTTCGTTTCACTAACAACAAGAATTTTTCGTGTGTAGTATATGGACAATTGATGTAAACTAAGAGCTAACAATCGGGCAGCGTGATACCACCGTATTTCCACCTAAAAAAAAAAACAACAAATGATTATTCAATATTTATACCAAAGTTACATTTATTTTTCAAGTTTTTTGCGTATAGACATTTTATACCTTCTAAATTAACAAATTATTATTCATGTGGTTTTAAAGAAATTTTGTTGGAATAAGATTTTAATGCATTACTTAATCCATCAGAATATTTAATTTCAGAAATAATGAAAATATAAACAAAGATGGTATCCAATTACAGTTTTGAAAAGATCAGCTTCAAATTGCTCAAAAAATCTATAAATGTAATTTAAGTTCATAATTTTTTAATGAATAAAATGAATCACATGAATAATAATATCCTATGTAATTAATTTCTGGCCTGTTATTAAATACACGTCACCTTTTTTTAATTCATTGCCTTCTAAAAATGATATATTAATGATTTATTTATCACTGTTGTAACCAATTAAAATGTGTAACAAAAATTAATGCAATAAATGTCTGCAAAAAAAATAAATGCTTATTTTAATTTACTTATCATTCATAATGTCTACGAAAAAGTATGAACCTGTTAGCAGTTATAGAAAGCAAGGAAAGCACATGTGTTTTCTGTTTCAATTAGAGAAATTTTATTTTATTTCTTTATTTGCTATAATAAATTTTAATTTGAACATTATTGGAATCAAAACTCTAACAGCCACCGATGATAGTTTAACTTTTTAAAGCTGGAGCCCCCACCATCGCAAATTAAGTTCGGACCTAGTCAAAAAATTAGTTGCTAATTTGTTGCTCTGTCTGAATTTTGTTCCTCCTGCCATTTAGCAGAAAATCGCGTAAAATATGGGGGGGAGCAGCTTAATGACAAGCTGGACTCCCCTATACTAAAAAAAAAACGAATATACTAAATTTTGTTGCTTTTTTGTTGCTCCAACCTAGCGCTAAAACATTTACAAAACATTCACATAATGATATTGTTTAAGGCAATGCTGGCAGATCAGCCGAACTCGCACGAGATCAATAAAACAGATTTTTCAATTTCAGTGGTACTTTTAAATGAACTTATCGTTCTGTCTCGCTCAAACGTGTATATTTGTTTCTTATCTAACATATTGAAGCGCCATTTTTTGCAAAATCCGGTACTTACTGCTGGACGCAATTTATGCTCTGTTTACCATTTTGTATCTTACAATTAGCTAAACATACGAATTACCATAAATTGCAGTCATCAGGATTTCTTTTTTTCTACGCTTTCAATCGTAGCTCAAAAGGATTAGTATTATTCGTTCATGTAATTCAATTCCCGGGACGCACGCATTTTGTACATATGAGTTACAGAACTTTTACACTAATGAAATGTTTATGTCAGGCAACAGGTATACGACCCAAAAAAATGTAATTTTTTAATTCTTTTTCGTTTTTACTACAAATTCCTGTGTGCCGGGATTACATTTTATGTCTATTTCAATCTTGTGAAAGTGTTTTAAATTCCGTTTTATCATTTCGGAAAACTCTTGACAACTGCAATATGTCGGTAATTCCGTCCTGTCAGCATCGCCTTAAAAAATAACACTGTATACACTTGCAATACTGCACCGTGGCGTTCAAACAGTGATATCAACAAGAATAGTAATTAGTTGCTCGCACTGAATTTGGTACAAAAACAATCTGCAATTACTATACTATCGAAATATGTCAATTTTCGATTTGTTGTTAACCGTAACATATCGAAAATAAATAATTTTTCACGGCCGATCGCGCCACGCGCTTTATGTCATCTTGTCCGATCCTTCCAAAATTTGTTGCTCGCATGAATTAGTATGAAAATAATCTGCAAGCATCGTACTACTAAAATGTATCAATTTTCGATTTTATCGCTCTAACATATAAAAAATAAATAGTTTATCCCAGCCGATCGCGCCGTGCTCTAATTTCTCTTGCTCTATTGTCACATAATTAGTTGCTCGCATGATTTTAGTACCAAAATAATAATAGATAAAGAAGATTATAGTAAGATGCTTACAGATTATTTTTATACCAAATTCGTACAAACAACAAATTTTGGAGGGATTGAGCAAAGGAACTTATAGCGCAATCGGCCGGGATAAATTATTTATTTTCGACATGTTAGAGCTAGCAATAAAATCGGAAATTGATATATTTCAATAGTATCATAGTAGAAATACAAGGGTATGCTCTTGAGCATGTGATTCCGAGCGGCCAATCAAATTGTCACCAAGAACACGTCATCGTTACGTGGTAAATTTGAACGTATTATTTCAAGCATGCTCAACTATATTCTAAAATTCACTGCAGGATTGAAAATCTATATCTTACGTTACGTGCATTATAGATTTTTAACACTGAAAATGAATTGGTACATAAGCTTTGAGTATATAGTACATGGAGAAGGAATGCCTTTGTTCTCTATAGGCCGCAAGTGTATCCAAGAGTGGCGAGAAGTGCAAGACAGTAAGGTATACGAGTGATACCATGTGACATCAGACGAGCATATCCTTGTATTTCTATCATGAATAATATGATGCTTGCAGATTATTTTCATACCAAATTCATGCAAATAATAAATTCTGGGAGAATCGGGCAAGGGGACACAGAGCGCGCGGCGCAATTGAACGGGATAAATTATTTATTTTTGATATTTACGGTTAGTAATAAAATTGAAAATTGACATATTTCAATAATATGGTGATTGTAGATTATTTTTGTACAGATTATTTTCATACCAAATTCAGTGCAATCAACTAATTCTGTTGGTATCACTGTTCGAACGCAACAGTGCAGTGCTGAGCGTATACAGTGTGTTATTTCTTACACAATGTTATTTTTTGTAAATGTTTTAGCACTATCTTGAAGCAACAAAAAAGCAATCAAATCTAGTAGTATATTGATTTTTTTTTGGTAAAATCACTTTATATATTTTTTTGTATGGGGAGTTCAGCTTGCCATTAAGCTGGCCTTCTCCATTTTTTACGCGATTTTCTGCTAAACGGTTGGAGCAATAAAATTCGGATTAAAGCCACATAAACAAAGTTCACATTTTCTGCTATTCAAGCTAAATCTATCAAAAAATCTATGTTTAATACATTTAATAATATGATCAGAGACTGTAATTCAAGAGCATGTATTTTGAATTTCTAGAAATAGATGAAATAATATTTTTACCAGCTCAGGGACGAGTTCGCGTTATAGATGTGTTAGTGGCAGGAACTGGATTATTGGAGGAAGCTGCGAGAGCATTACGTTCGAGAGTGTTGCGTCGTTCTAATTCGGCCAGTTTCTTCCACATCTCGTCCCTTTCTTTTTCCTTCCTTTTTTCTCTATAATTCAAACATATACATGTAAAAAGAATGAAAATAATTTTTTGTTCTTTATATAGCTTTAGATAGATTTCATTACCTTTAATATAGCATTAAATTATCAAGATGTATAATGTTTAAGTAAAAAAACTAAAATGGATTAAAGAAAGTTTTGCTTAATTCTGCGAAAAACTATAAAAGATATATCTATAAAAGAAAATTTTCGCCTTACTTTTGCCTGTCCAACTTATAGTTGGCTGTAAGTTCATCGAATAACTTGCTATTCATCTCCATAAATGTTTTTAAAACATTGTAAACAAGAGCTATGATCGTCTGGTTCCAATGCTCCTTGCTAATTTTGTACAATGCTGGGAACATAATCTTCATTATTACTTGGTTGTTTTCTTCAATTAGAGACATTATATACTCGTTATTCCAAAAGTACAATGCTCTTTCCGCAACCTGTAACAAAAAATAGACGAGACTTATTATTTTACGATTTCACGACAGTTCCGTCAAAATTAGTGCAAAATATATATAAATTACCTGAAAGTGTGGTGAAGACACGCAACGTGCGACTTGCCTGAATAAAGGTTCTTGTATTTTAACAAATTGATTAGGTTCTATAACGTCCAATATTTCCTCGATTTCACCAAGGAACATCACCTCCTTCTGGCTGCACGTTTTAGGCCAGAATTTAAGGAGGCCTCGTACAACTGGTTCTGTTAAAGTCGCGTCTTTTTCCAAAAATTGCACCACACAATAAGCTAACTGCGCGTGATACAGTGATAAACATTTCACTTTATGCAGTGGTAACAGCACCTAAAAAAATAAGTACAAGATGTTTTTTTAAATCATTTTTCTTGTGTCTTGAATTCTAAATTCCATCTGTTCCTTCAATAATATTAAGGGGGTATAGTTATAGTGTGACCGGTCAAAAAAATTGATTTTTTTGCATATTCTTATAGTTTAGGGTCTTGAAAATGTGTCTAAAATATTAAGATGAAATTCGTCAAATTGATCGAACTATAGAGGTTTAAAGACGTAGCCCCCGCGCGCGTCCATGTGGCTCGTCGCCCGTGATTTCCATGCAGTAGACCGATTTTTTGCGTGTCAGGTAGTATTTCTTTACGTAGCCAAATAATGCTATATATAGCTGAAAAAGATGCTATATATCCTGTATGGCCCTGATATAGCTGACTGAGGGTAAGTTACTGAAATTACTCATTATCCACCTTGTAAACGCATGGGAAACTTTAAACGCGTTTTTCTCGAAACGACATTTTTCAAATCGGGTATTTTTCTCACAAACTATTGGGCCGATCGACTTGCGTTTTTGCATACATATAATGTACATATTAGGCTATCGCATGAACCTCCAACTTTTTGACCTCTTGAAAATTACTATTTTTCCGGACCGTGAAAATGAAATATTTTTTATCAAAAATCCAACTATTTTTTTTCAAACATCGCCATTTTGTCAATTGTTCTTCAAATGATTTACTAGAGGTTCGAGCGATAACCACATTTATAAGGAATTTAAAAAAATTCGTTTATTTGAGATGGCGAGGATAGCCGCAATCACTACGCTCGATAGAAGAGGAATTTCAAAACATTGCCATTTTGTCAATTGTTCTTCAAATGATTTACTAGAGGTTCGAGCGATAACCACATTTATAAGGAATAAAAAAAAATTCGTTTATTTGAGATGACGAGGATAGCCGCAATCACTACGCTCGATAAAAGAGGAATTTCAAAACATGACCTGCACGTTCATTTATGCCGTGTGTAATTCTCAATAAAAAGCATTAAAAAAATTTAAGATGTTACTTCAAAATATGTATAAATGTAAAAACAAAACATTACATTTATAGGTTTAACCATTTTTATAAAATTAATTCTCAAAAATCACCTTAAAAACGGATGTTCACACTAGAATACTCCCTTAATATATATTTATAAGAATATACCGTTCAACTCAAAAAACAAAGTTCCAGAAAATAAATTTTACTGCTTTAAATCATTAAAATTTAAGGCTCCTGATTAGTCACAGCAGCCATATTGGAATCGTGAAACGAGAAATGACACGTAAAAGTTGCTGCGTGTTATTTTTAAATAAAGAGAATTTGGATAAACTAAAAAAATATAATTGCTTTAAAAAACTTGTAAAAATGGATGGAAATTATCCTCCCCTCCCCCACGTCTATTAAGCTGACACAGCCACTTTAGCACAATCGAATAAAACATACACAGAAATTTAGTGCTCTTTTGATGCTAATTTGATGCTCAATTCCCGATTTTGATGCTCCAGCCGATTCGTAGAAAACAATGGCTGTGCTAACTTAAGATT